TCCTGTTCAGTCTTATCTTATCCCATTATGATTGTTTTCATTTTGTTTATTATTGTCTCGTTCCCTAAATATAATTAGAGGTAGGACATAATTCTATCCCATTCCGTTCATTTTCATCTTGTTATGTTCTTTTTCATCCCGTTTGTTATGTCCGCACCATCCAATCCCATCATATCTTATTATGTCAATTTTCATTTGTCTTTTCTTTGTCTCGTCTCTAAATATAATTCCAGTCATGTCCTTTCCTGTCCCATTATGTCCCGTCCAATCCCGTCACATTCCATTTCTTTTCATTTTTGTCCCGTCCATTATTTCTGTCTTGTCCTCTCTCATTATGTTTTTTCTTTTTTTCCGTTCCACTCCTAAATATAATTAGAGGTAGGCGAAATTTCCGTCTTGTCCTATTCCGTTCCTCAAGATCTTGTCTCGTCACTTAATATCATAAGAAGTAAACAAAATTCTCCTTTTTTACGATTCTATTTTTTTTCGTCTTATCATATTCAATCTCTTCTCTTTTCATCCAAAGATACTATAGAAAAAAATAGTGTTCTTTGTAAAATATATGTTTTTTTAATTATTATCAAATAATGGTTTTTAAAGATTTATACATAAATATTTATTTTCTTTTATAAAAAGGACTTTTCAAATTATTGCAAAAATTATTGTATTATTTCATGATTATATTAATAGATGATCATAACTAATTAAAATATAAGAAGCGAAATATAATTAATTAAGATTAACAAATATAATGCTGACGTGGCGAATTAGTGAATTTAGAGGCAACCTCTTATGCTGATGTGGCAACACCAGAACAAAATTGCAAAATTTCCGTATAGTCTCATCCCATATAATTAACATCCCGTCCCATTTCATTTATTCTCATCTTGTCCCATTCTTTTCCCGTCCTGTTTCCTCATGTCTGCCCTATCGAGTTCCATCCAATCTTGTTATTTTTTTTTTTCCATTTTGCCATATCTCTGTCCTGTCCCTAAAGATAATTAGGTGTAACTGAAATTTATGTCCCGTCCCTTCTCATTCCATTATGTCCCTTTCATCCCGTCCCGCTCAATCTCGTTTCATTCTGTTTTTTCATCTCGTCCTGTCTAGTCTTATCTCATTTCGTTATGTTTCTTTCTTTATATAATATCTTGATATCAACATAAATTATATAATCTAACAAAATAAATCTACTAAATAATAGTTTTTGTAGATCTATACATAATGTTTCTCCTTTTTTTTAAATGATTTTTTATATTCTTGTTAAATTTATTATAGTAATGAATGCTAATTATTATGAAATTAAAATATTAAAATAAAAAGTATAATAAATTAAATAAAGTGCTAATGTGGCAAAAACCAAAATTTAGAAACACCTATTTTTGGTGACATGGCAACCTGAGAATAGAATGACACCAACTATATATATAAATACAGTAGAACCTCTATAAAGTAATACTCGATAAAGTAATAACTCGATAAATGAATAGAATTTTCAAGTACTGAATTCAGTTTTTGTTCTAATTATCCCTCGATAAATTAATAATCTCGCTAAAGTAATAAAATATTGTGGTCCCAACATTATTACTTTATAGAAGTTTTACTGTATATATAGATAATCAATATGCCATGTTCTCTTAGAGTTGGTCTCAATATTTTTTACAATTAGGATGTGTGGCGTTTGCCTCTGTTTTATCCATGTGTGTATAAGTAAGAAATATTACAATTTAAAAAAGTGAGGAGACAATCTAACCATACACCAAGACATGATTAAGAAACTAAATATCAGCAGATCGACAATCCTAAGAACAATTATAATACTTGGGTAGCTCATATGGAGCATCTCTTTGTCTCAGTTGGAGAAAACCTTTGTCTCTACTGGTGAAGATCGATCTCACTTGTATCTTGATCCATCATGAACAATTACAGAAAAATTATGCGTGCAAAAAGAGCATGTTTGCATTGAGAAACGAAATTTATACTAAGAACACATAAACCAAATTTACATAGTCAAACACATCTTGAATTGTACATAACAATTTCAGGGAACAATTCTTATTTACACCTAAACCCATGGAATTAGTTAACTTGACCACTCAAATCAGAACATTTGTAATGGTAGAAGAAACAATTAAAGCATATCAAACTATCATAAAAAATGCAGCGACCTAAGTCATACGATGAAAACAAACAAATGAAAGCTAGAAACGAATCCAAAAACTCATCAAGAAGAAATGATCAAACTGTTTCAAATCACCAACAGTCAAGAGCAGGGATCACATGACGAGAAATCTAAAAGCATCCAAGACTAAAGCATCCAAGCAGATATATAAAGCATCTAAGTGTGTTATATAATAGCATTCACGAACAAAACATCCAAACAGATATATAATAGCATCCACGAACAACTCTCAAGCCTAAAATCAATATACCGAGTACAGGTTTTCTCTCATTGATTGTTTCTGCAATCATCCAAATAAGTTCATATCAAATAGAAGCAATCGACATATAAACTAACAACCAAATTAATCGAGAAAAACACTAATATACAGATTTAAAAAACGAACAATGGAGGATTTGGGGAAGTATGAGTATCGTCTTTGAGAGAAGTCAAACACTCATTTGAAATCTCGAATTGAACAAACAGCTATTTCGGGAGATCGATCTGAGAGATCTTGAGAGGCAAAAGCAGATTTTAGTGAAAGAGAGAGACAAAGTGTTACATATCGGAAGAGCGGAATCGGAACGAGGAATCGGTGGGGACAGGAAGAGCGGAATCGAAACGAGGAATCGGTTCTGGAACAAGGAATCGTATCTGGGACAAAATCTGATAAACGTGTGTCCGGCTCGGGAAGACCGGCGATTGTCTCCGTCGGTTGGGGTTGGTTGGAAGTGAGAGGCCAGTAAAAATTAGAAAGTGTGTTGTGAAATGAGAAAGGTAATTTGGATATAAAATCGATAATAAGCTGTGAGGAGGAGAATAAGAGAGTAAACTCAAAAGGTGAAAGTCTACCTTTATCAATAAGTGTGTCATTGTGTAAATTGAAAGACAAAAGTGTGTCTGAGTGTAATTTTGTCTGTACAAGAAGATAATTTGTGGCAATGTAGATGTTCTTAACTACATCTCTTCGATGCGATAAAGTAGCTTACGTTACAAGCAAGCACATGTTTTTTCCATATGCATCTCAAAATTCTTTTAATTGATTAAATAAATGGACCCTTATCCAAAGTCCAAACTAATGTGAATATGTTCTTACACATGATAAATGCTTGGGTGAGGACTCTCTTACAAATGAGACTATCTACAAAAAGTGTTGGAAAAGGTAAGTTCAGTAAATAAAACTTAATATGTGGTATTTTGGATTATCGTTTAGACTAGTAGGTGTTCAATCAACAAAATATGTACGTTGTACAAGAAGATGATTTGTGGAAATGTAGATGTTCATAACTATGGTAGATCTCTTCGATGCGATAAAGTAGCTTACGTTACAAGCAAGCACATGCAAAGATCTATCACTACACTGTAGACTCTCTAGCGGAAGTTTGTGTGTAAAGAGGTTTTTGAGAAGTTTGAGCTTTGGTCCTTCGTGTATGGCATCTGAAGAGTGGAGCCTACGCACGTGACGGTAACATGTGCTATCGAACCAATCTAATTCTAGTTTGTCGCAATCAAAGCTGCAAAATTATTTACTCTTTCTATTCGTCTTTTTCTTTTAAGTTGAGTTTACCACTCATCATCATATCGTGTTTTGCGCGACTCTCTCTAATCAAAAAACATGTTATCAAAAAGTGTTCCGAATAACATGTTTAAAAAAACATGTTATCTCTAAACATGTTATCTCAAAACAAGTTCCGAATAACTTTTTGCGCGACTTTCTCTTTTCTCTTCAAAACATGTTATCTCTAAACGTTTTCATGTCCTGTAGGAAAAAGTGTTATCAAGTTTTATTGGAAACAAGTCCTTTTTTTTTTACAAAAAAAAAAATAAAGTTTTATTGGAAAGTGATGTCTTTTATCGGGTACTAGTTCGCCAAAAAATGTTTTTAAGAAAAGATTACGAGACTTGTATCTCTTTTAGTCTTAGATGTCCATCGTTTAAGAAGGTAACTAATTACTCAACTCTTACATGTTCGTTAACAATAGTTTTTTTATGTCAATCACTATTAATCGATGAAATGTTGCAAGGAAAATTATTAGCCAAATCTGGCAAGTCAGCTTTACTGAGTTAAGATTATGTTAATGAGATTATTTATATATTTGTGATCGACGGCCTCTTCGACATTGATTAGTCTTGTCAACAGACAAAGACAGGAAAGCATGGCATGCACGTATTCTGGACCGGGAATAAAGAGATCCATTCACAATTATATATCGTGGTCATACATTGTAATAAAAATTTGTGTTATTAGAGGTACAAAAAATTGATCTAATTAAGGTAGCATAATTCATAGTATAAGGCTAAGTTAAAAAAGCTCTCTCTTGTTTAAGGCTACACCAACTATAATGGAGTAGGAGTCTCACACTAGTTAAAAGCTTGGTCAATAATACAGTGGTTGCTATAAGTGTCTAGTGGTTAATTAATTTGAGTTGGTTGGTACAAGTATCTAAAGGTTAATTAATTTCTTGTCGTGATAAGTCAAATAAGTAGAAAACGATGTTCTAATAACCTCGTTTCATCTTTCGGCGGAAAAGAGATTTTGTGAGAGTATAAGCATCGTACTCTACGACATATTTTAAGATTATTTATATTATTAATTTAAGTTTATAGCTTCTCTAATTCTGACACTCACATTGCACAACCCGAATATGAGGTTCTTTAAAAATCAAATGGCAAAAGCCTGAAATACAGAGATCGGGTAATATAATCCATGGTGAAAATGTCTTTTCCTATCTTCCCAAACCGTAATATCACTCTCTCTTGTTCCTCTTCCGGTATGTTCATGTCTTTCCGTGCCTCTGCAGCAGTTTCACCGACGCCACCGTGACTCGACCTTTGAAGTTTAGACACCAGCATTGGAGTTGCTCGTGTCATCTCGGCGACTTGTTTTTACTCTCCTCCTAAGTTCCCTGAGCAGAAATCCATCAACGGATTCTTCTTCATCTTCTGGATTCCTTGGTTGGTAAACTCGGTGGACAGAAATTAGACAGGGAATCACTAAGTTAGACCTGTCCACACAACAAAAACTTATAAACGACATGGCAATGGCAATGGAGGTCGGCGAAGGCGAAAAAATCAACTTCACATACCTCAGTTTTCCTATGTAATTACTGCTACTCCTCGAGAAGTCATTCCTGGACAACGATACAACAAACTCCGCCCCTGTCGCTTTCCTAGCTTTCTTTGCGGATAGTAAAAGCTTACTCTTGACGCCGGAGAGAGCTGCAATGATACAGAGGAAGGTGATATGATATTATAGTCCAAAGACTTCAAACTCAATTCACAAGAAATAAGAAGAAGAAGGTGAAGGGAACTTTATGAGCCAACATAGCAGGAAGATGTACCTCAACCAAAGTCAGCTTGATACCGTGGTTGGCAAAAGAGTATGTCGCATCATGGTACATATGTGAAGAGTGAAGAAGAGCCTATTACAGTAGAGAAGACAAAACGAGATTATCATAAGCTAAAAACATCATCATAGATTTATTAGAAAGTTAAAATGATCAAATGCTCATGAAAACAATGCATATAGAACGAAAAGCTTAATACAGTCATAGAACTTTACACAAATTGCTAATGTTACTACTGTATCACAGATTATGGTTTTCTAACTGAGCTATGATACAAACACATATATCACAATCTAGAGTTTAACAGGAAAAGTTAACCATTATGTTTTCATGGAATCAATATGAGACCAATCCAGAATTTCCAATTTAGTAATCATGGAATAAGAGTGCCCAAGCAAATAGGATTAAGCCGAATAATCATCGGAAAGATAGTGATTAACTGTTCGATTGATTCATCCGAAAATAATACACAAATCAAATCTCAATGACGAGCAGCAAGAACAACCAAAAAAATCAATTGAAAATCGAGAAGAGATTTTTGGAAATTGACCTTTGAGGGAATGCATTCGACGTTGAGACAAGTGCCACCGAGTGCGCCGGCCCTTCTCGATACATGTTTTTCGAGACCAAGCTGAGCCGCCTTGATCGATGCCACGTAACCGCCGCCGATGATGACCCGATGACTCAAAGCCAATCAAAGAAAATACCTTTCTCCTTGCTAAACTCGCCATCGCCATCGAAATCGTAGAACAAGAAGCAGTGGAAGACGGAGGAAAGCGATTTCGAAGGAATGAGAAGAAAAAAATAATTAACAAAAAGTGAAAAATTATGGTGGAGTATTCTGGAGGCGACATGTGGTGTGAACAGGATAAGTAGAGACGGCTCCCAAAGTCCTTCCCCCAGAGACGGTTCTCAAATTTTTACGTGCCACATAGATAAATTAAAGAATTTTTTCTTTATTTTTTACTTTGAGAGACGCTCGCAGTATATGTGATGCCTGTGTCATAGTAAACCACTCATTCTCACGTCAGCAGAAACCAATACATCACCAGATCATCTTCTTTAAACTTTAACTAGACCAATGCCCGCACATACGCGCGGGTTTTGTTGTTGTTAAAGTTTTTTTAAAATACTCGAAAACAATTTTAGATTTGCAATTAATATTATAACATATAATCCAATAATATTCGTATTTAATTCCTATTTGTTAGTTAGCGACTGATTTTCAAACATATATTTTTGTATCATATCCCATGTCTATGAACCATTAACTCTTTTTGTTTACTCACGACCACATAGAACGGACTCTAGTAATAGAGTGATTTTTAATATCGATTTTTGCTAAATCCATTTCTCCGTATATTAAGAGAATTTATATGTTTAATAATAACTTAAGATGAAAACCGAAATGTAAAAGCTTTGGATTAATAGAGTGATTTTTATTATCATAAGTTAAAATGGATAAGATTTAGAGTTATTTACTGGAAAGAAGAGGAAAAGTCAAGAAGAAATTTCATGAAATACACCTCTTGAGGTGCAAATTTTCAAAACTACACCTATAGTGTGGAAATTTTCAAAAATACACCTTTCCCCAATTTTAATATATATGTTTGGGTTCACTAATCATATATTAGAATTTAGATTTTGGGGTTTAGGGTTTAGATATAAGGGTTCAATGTTAAATTTTAGGGTTTTGAATTTATATTTTAGGGTTTAGAGTTCTTTTACTAAATGAAAAAAGTGTAATTTTGAAAATTTGCACCATAGAGGTTTATTTTTGAAAATTTGCACCTCAAGAGATGTAATTTTGAAATTTCCCCGTCAAGCCACAATATCAATTAATGAAGTGTTGATACAACGTGGAAGGTAAATCAACTAACGGTTTTGAAACCTATTATATCTGTAACGACTAAAAATGTGAAGAGATTACTCTCTTTATTTTTTTTTCCACATGTCAATCATATAAAGAGAGTTGGCCTCAATTTATATATATAATTACTTTAGTAATGGAAAATTTAAGTCTACTACACATTTGGATTATCGATGGCTTAACCCACATAATAACAAAAATCTATTAGTATGTAGTTACCTACCTTTATATATATATATATATATATATAGAATGTGACCCGTGCTTCACGCGAAAATTTATATTATTGTTTAATTTTATTGTTTATCCGCAAATTTAATTTATTTATGTGGTTTACTATTATTTTGAAAATATTACACATATTAATTAAATATAATTAGGGTTAGGCAAAATTAACATACCGTCTTGTCCCATTATATCCCATTTCATTCATTTTCATCATATCCGTTCTTTCCTGTCTCATCCGTCCTATCTGTCCCGTCTCATCCCATCCTATCTCATTATGTTCCTTTCCATTTTGTTATGTCCCATCATGTTCCTTCCGTTTCTTCTCGTCTCGTTCCCTAAATATAACTAAGGATAGGCAAAATTCCCGTATATCCCATCCCATCCCGTCCCATTTCATTTCTTCTCATCTTGTCCCGTTCTTTTCCCGTCCCATTATGTCTGTCCGTCCTATCGAGTCCCATCATATCATGTTATGTTTTTTTTTTCCGTTTTGTTGTGTCTCTGTCCAGTCTCTAAATATAATTAGCGTAAATGAAATTTACGTCTCGTCCCTTCTCGTTCCATTATGTCCCTTTCATCCCGTCCCACCCAATCTGTCTCATTCCGTTTTTTCATCTCGTCATGTCTAATTTGTCTGTCTCGTCCCGTCCCGTCTAGTCTTATTCCGTTTTGTTATATTTATTTCCGTCTTGTTCAGTCTCATCATGTTCTTTATGTTTTTTTCTATTCCGTCTTTAAATATAATTTGAAGTAGACAAAATTGCAATGTTTTTAAAACCGGACCGGAGAACGAACCGGATAAATGTCCGGGTCGCGGGTTAATCCGGTCCAACCGGTTCAACTGGGTTTATAACATTAATTGTAATTTTATTAGTATAACACATGGTATTAAATCTCTGATTATATGTGTATTCTATGTAGCTTTCAACGTAACTTCCCATTTTTACGGTCTCTTATTGCATGTTTTACAATAAAAATATATTGTTTTAAAAGCACCCGTAATCAAAGTCTTAGAAGAATAACTTTTTCTACATTTTCTCCAAAACAGCCACAGCCGCCGTCGTTCTTGTTTCTTATTCTCAATTTCCAGAATTTTTGTAATATATATTTTCCTTATTTTTTTTTTCTTTTCCTTACATTCATATATATCTTAAAATCGATTAAAGAAACTCAAGAAAAATGATATAGATTTAATACACCAAAAAAACTTTAAATTTTTGTGAACCGGGTTATTGTGGTTCGACCGGTTCACCGGTTTTGACCGGTTTTCAAACGAGTTTTTTGGGTTTTTCAAAATCCGGTTTTATGTAGTTAACCAACTCGGGTATGTGTCCGGGTCGCGGTCGGACCGGTTCGTCCGGCCGGTCCGGTCCGGTTTTGAAATCACTGCAAAATTGTATGATATCCTATTCCTTTTCGTTCTTTTACATCACATCTCATCATTTAATATAATAAGAAATGTACAAAATTCATTTCTTTTTTCGTCATGTTTTTTTTTTCGTCTCATTCTGTCTAGTTTCGTCTCATTTCATCCCAAAAACTTAAAAAAATTAGTATTCTTTATATAATATTTTGACATCAACGTAAATTATATAATCCAGCATAAATAAATTTACTAAATAATAGTGTCTTTAGATCTATACATAATCTTTCTCCTTTTTAAAAAATGACTTTTCATATTCTTATTAAACTCATTATAGTAATAAATGCTAATTATTATGAAATTAAAATATTAAAAAGATAAAATATAATAAACTAAATAAAATGCTGACGTGACAAAATGAGGAATTTAGAAACACTCTAAAAGTGAGATGACAATCTAAGAATAGAATCACATCAATTTTATATATATATATATAAATATATATTTTTGTTAACATATTTTCATTAAATCAAAGCGACCCAAACATTTTAGTGGTTCAGCGATACAAACGAAGGCAGTGATACTAAGGAAAACAAAGCTAATTTTGCGATGGAATCAGCCTGCTGATTGTTAGATCTAGACGTAAATTTAAAGGAGATCGAGACAAATAATGAAGCCAGAAGGTGGATATCTTGGAGGATACCATAGATTTTGGCTACATTGTCAGATGATTGAATTGTTCTCACGAGCGTTTGGAAGTCAGATTTGATGCAAAGATTTGTTCAGCCTCGCGATCTTGCTTCCAGGAGGTATTCAGGCCTTCCGCTGCGAGTGGAGATCGGACCGGAGCTTCCGCCTTATTGCCTTCCCTCAAGATCTCTTCCATCCTGGTTTTAAAAACCCAACCATAATCCGTTGCTTGGTTCTCTTTTTTCCAAGCTGCTTCAACCTACCTTTGGATATTATCAATGCATTTTAACATGCAAGCGTAAAACGTGGATAAATCTCTGCTATTGTTACTAGAAAACTATATACATACATACACCACCATCTAATTAGATAAATACGAGAACATTTTGTTGTCATTTTTGTGACAACATCGCAAGTTTAATTCATGTAACCTTTTAAGAACCGCCGTTATATTTCCGAAGTTATTTTAGAAGAAACCTTTATCATAAAGATGTAATTAAAAAAGTAGTGGGAATCGGGGTGGGATAACTTGTAAGCGAAGGATCAAGAATCACATCGCATTCTCTTTTCTTGCCAAGTGGATATGAGATGGAGCCAAATGTCACCTTGTTAACCAACTAATTAAATGATGACACGTGTAATTGCCACGTCACCCCATCGTGCAGATGTTTGGTTCCAGTTTGTTTCGGCACCGTTATAAAACCCCAACGGGAAACTGAACAACTTTCGCATGGGCTTATCATAAAACATCTCGAGAGTTACGATTATAACCCTCTCTCTACGACCAACAATCATCATCATTATTAATTTATTATTCTTTTTTTTTTTTGTAACATTTTTCAATAAATCACGAAAATAATCGATTTATCCAAGAAAGAAACGCGACTTGTGTGTACCTTAAATGGAAAATAAAAAATAACATCGTTACAGGATCTAACTACACTCGCATCAAAACGTCTCAAACACGCTTTCACATTCAGTGCCTTATACACAAAAGGGATAAAATAATCATTCCATAATTGAATCTAGACCCCAACTTGAAGGGGTAGTTAAGTAATCCAAAAATGACACGTGTCAGAGTAGAGGATGACGGTTTTAACCGTATCACGTGATAGTCAACTGTTGGGCTTTATTCACTGCAGCCTAATGGTGGGCTTTAATCGAATAGTCACTGCCACTCTCTTTCTGTCCGCGATTTCTTTCCCCTTTCTTCTCCTTTCTCTCTGGATTTCTTCTCCATTCTCAATTTCTTCTCCATCGCTTCTGTTCTCCCCCTCAGGTAAAACGCTGCGAAAATATGGGGAATAGTCACTGCCACTCTCTTTCTTCTCCATTCTCTCCCCGATTTCTTCCCCATTTCTTCTCCATTCTTTCAGGGATTTTTCTCCACTCTCTGCGATTTCTAATCCATTCGCGATTTCTTCTCCGTCGCTTCTGTTCTCCCCCTCAGGTAAAACGCTGCGAAAATCTGGGGAAATCTGTAGTCTACAATTATATCTGCAACTTCTCTTTTGCTTCACTGTTGGTTTTGATTGAGAATATATATCATGAATTGTGGAATGATTGATTCTTTCTTAGGTGGAGCACGTGGTGAGAGAAGAGAAACAGTGGCTGCTTAATCTGAATTTCGTGTTGCTCGTTTGGGTGTAATCGACTCACAAAAGTAAGTGGAAAAAGTTTCTTTGATCAAACTGTACAGACTTTGTTTATTGTGTGTGTTGATTATTGCTTTCAGATGAGTGATTACTTGAGCCTGAGAGGTACAAACAAGGTGATTAACCAGATTATTGACCAACAAGAGATCAAGATATGCTGGGCAATTTGCTTGGCTCGACAATTTACATCGTTGCTCCGAGCGGAAGGGATACTTAGTGACAACCAAGAAATTTCAATTCAATATCTGGTCAACCAGATGAAAAGTTTAGTCGCGAGAGATGATTGGGAAGGAGGGATTGATTCTTTACAACTGGTGCAACGAATTTTGCTGAATGGCGTAGTTTTGGAGAACTACTGCCCATTGACCTTCGATTTAGCCTCAACAAACCCCATCGGAGGTTATGCAGGAGCAGAGAAGTTCGCAGCGATAATGCATGTCCACACTAGTAACCAATATACATGTAAGTTTTTGAAGCTGCTATATCCAAATTAATATCTTTTAATTGATATTGAAATTATATTCAGCTCAATATCTTTAATTTATATTTAAATTATATTCAGCTCCAGAACTTTTCGAAGCCGCAATATCCCAATTAAGAAAAACATCAACCATCACCTGTGTTGTGCGGGGCTACGCATCGATGCATATGAATAATGGATTTGATGCTTACGTGCCAACGTTGGCTGATCATGCAATTTACGAGCTTGACCGGAGAATAGGCGATCATTGTATGCTAATTACTGGGGAAGGGTTTGACAGCAGAGGGATTCCCTACTGGGAGGTTCAAGATAGCTATGGGGTAAGACAAGGCGACGCAGGATATATCAGAATAGCAAAAGGTGTTGTTTATGCATTTGTCGAATTGATAGTGTTCAGGGTGGGTGAGGACCCAGGCGATGGAAGCAACAAAGTTCCTGAGGTAATAGACTAGTTTACATGTCTTGTAAGCTAAACATATGCATGCACTAATGGGTTTCTATAAAATATTGCAGGTTGGCATAGGAAAGGGTGGCAACGGTTCCTTTTTCCATGACGAAGCAAAGAATAGCGGTAATCTTTTCGCTTGTGCTCTTTCTTTACAGGGAAGTCGTCTTTTTATTCGTAAGATAGAATTTGTGTAAAGAAATAGAGGATTTTTCACTTGATTGATACTTGGTTTAGGTCAATTTGAGGTTTGTAGATTGCTTTACTGTTCATGGTGATTACCATTATTGGATTTTAGTTCAGTACTTGATGTGAGACTTAGACTCAGACCTTTAGATCCAAATGTGACATTGCATTTAAATTGTATGCTGTAGATTTTTGCGTTGTGCTTACATTTGGGTACACTCTTAAATGATGACATTTCAGAGGCAGATGCAGATGGGGATAAAAAAAGTTTGAACGTTCGCAAAGATCAAAGTTTCTTGAAGGATACACAGTCATGTGATGATGAAGAGATACTGGTCTCTTCAATAGAAGAGAAGGAAGAAGTGCTTCAGCCTCGTGAGTCGCCTGAAACTAAGTATAACTTGCGCAAAAGTCTTGCCTGGGACAATGCGTTCATCACTAGCGACGGTAAGTTAAGTGCATTTCCTACCTTTTTGTTGTTACCTTTCAGATATTTTACTAGTTTGTAATGTGTCGCTTACTTTTTCTGAGATATATTTATTGTCAAAAGCAGGTGTTTTGGAACCTGAAGAGTTGACAAGCATGATGGAAAGCAATAACAAGAGTGAAAGGAAAGGTTTACCTACCATTGAAGAGGATGTTAATAGATCAACAGAGTCCATTTCTACATTTCAGAGTGACTGCACTGTGGAAAACAGTCAGGAATTAGTTTTGTTTGAAGATGTGAGAGCGTCTATTCAAAGGTCTTCTGCTAAAGGATCTGGTGCTGCAACACCTGGAAAGTATAATGAACTGGGAGAAACAGAAGTAGCAACCAGCCCAAGTAAGTCTTCTTTATTGCTTATCTCGTGTAAAGGGAAAGGAACTAGCTTTGCTGTTTTCCCACATATCAGCATGCATCTTTATGGGTTAATCAGTTTGTATGGTCTAGCTCGAGCTTTAGTCTATTAATGGCTTTCTATAAAGCAGAAGGCCTACTTTTTTTAGTGTTTTCCATCGTACTTTGTGATGAGTGTTTAGCTACTGTGTTTTAGTTTTATATTGGAAGTACTGTTTCAAGGTGTTTACACTAGATGGGACGCGTATACAGTAGCAAGAGCCATTTTAAGTTGAGTTTTGCTATTAAGTTAACCATCTTTTGCATACCTTGTTTGAAATTCCAGCTTCAAGTACACTGGACGTTGTTGCCTCTCAGGAACAGGTAAATCTGTTGACAACTGCACCCTGTGTTTTCTCTTTACCTCTCTCTCCGTCTAAATCCTTTCTTTCATTGATTTATTTCGCAGTTGAAACCCAAAGCCAGTCCTAAAAAGCTGAGTATTAGAGCACAAGGACTAGGGAAGGCAACAAAACAGGTATATCGTCTTCATTCACTTTCTCAGGTGCACATTGACTAAAGGATTCATGGCATAGTTTAAGTTTGATCTCACAAAGGGTTCTTCTAGATGTCCAGTGGTTATTAAGTTCGAATTTTCTCTGTTGAGTTTATGAATTAGAAGCTTGTCATCACTTGACCCTGATATTTGATAATTTATTAATGATACATTTTGTACAGCCTGTTGCTACAAGAGGTCTCAGTACATCTATTTCCAAGCCACCTAACGGAGTTAGCAAAGTCAGGCCGGCCTTGGCAACAACATCAACGAAGAGGGCATCAGTAGATATGACCAAAACCAAACTAGAAAGGAATCCCAAATTTCCAGCAGGTCAGTCAAAACTCTGTCTTGAAGATTTTTGTAACTTGTCTTTAACGTCCATGTTTGATGACCTTTAAATTATACAGGCAAAGAGCCTTTGGGTACTAGAATATCCATTTCACGAAGTGCCAGACCCACATTGCCAAAACATGCTGTGCCTAAGTCAACTATACGTTCTTCAACTGCGTCAAAGAATGAATTGACATCTTCTTGCTCTTCACTAGAGAGCTGTGCAAGTGCTTCATCGAGCGCTTCTCACAAAGCTTCTCTAGTTTCGACAAAGAAGAAGAATGATCCAAGTTCCAGATTAGCTTCTCAGTCATTGGCAAATCGATCTACATCTAGAGGTATCATGGGCCAGCCGAGAATCCCACCCCACCCAACCAATATGACAACCAAGTCCAAGCTTGCCTCTAGTGTGCCATCGCGAGCTTCTGCAAGTGGTGGCAATATGGCTAAAAGCAACCAGAAAACCGTCTCTGGTGAAAAGCCTGTCGAGAGCTCTAAAGATGAATCTGTTGTTCAGGCTGATGCTAAGGAAGGCACAATAAGAATTTCAGCTTTCAACAGTGGTGGCTTGGTTCCTTCAGGTTCCATGAAAGCATCAGGTCTCCGTGTGCCATCCCCGAAAATCGGCTTCTTTGATGGAGTAAGTTCCTAAAATTCCTTGAAAACATTAGAATACCAAATTTGCAATTTTTCGTTTCTTATGATTGATACAAGATCTACTAGTATTCTCTGATCTATCACTATCTGGAATCTAAGTATGTATTGATCTCTTTCTCTCTATCTCACTTTGTTAAACAGGCAAGACATGGATCATCTTCATCTGCGAGTAAGAAGTCTGGAAAGTCTCAAGCCAACAAGTCTCCAATACAAGTGTCGTCCAATTCAAAAACGAAGGCAAGTTCATCTCCAAAACTGCAAAACAAATTGTATTCCAAAATCAGTGCAGAAGATCAACTTGAGGTGTGATGAGAATGAGGAGATGTTGCCTCCAGGAATCTGTAGTTCTTCATAAAATTGAGCTCTGTTTTTTTTTGGGTTTGAATAGGTATTTCGCTATCTGGTAGATTCTTCTTATGTGACATTAACCCATCCTCCCAAAAAGCACTTTATAGTTTGTGCGTACAGAAACTTAATGGCTAATGGGTTCTAGTATTGTGGAGTTTAAGAGGTAAACGAATTGGTCTGGTTCACAAGATATTTTTATCACGAAAAAATATTTTTGATTACTCAATTCTTCTTTTCAGTTAGAAATCAAAATATTACTGGAATAGAATTTAAATTGAACTCTGAAGTTTATTTTAGTTAGTAGAAGCTGGAAAACAAAAACAGTCTCATATCTCCTTGTAAGAAACATATGAAGTCGGATACTTATAAGAAGAATCGAATGGGCTACAATCAAATGGCGTGCAGAAAATGCAGTAACATCAAATCTGATATACGTAAAAGTCTTTATTGTACATCCGATAAGACAGACAGGAAAACTTTTTTATTCTTTATAAATTTCAATTCCTCATACTCATACATGCATTTTCTGTGTCGTCAATCAGTCAATGTGTATAAATCAAAGCAGAGGAGGAGGAAAAAGGTATGGAAATAAAAATAAAATCTGACAAAGAATAAGTACGATCGGAAAAAGAAAGAAATCAGAATCCGAACAGAGAAACTCACGACATGTTTGATACTCAGCCTTTGACCGTAATTTATAAAATTTATGGGGTCAAATTGTAAATAAGACTTTTGTGAGGAGGAGAGTACTCTCTGTTTCTGCAAAGCTTCAAGTCAGGGGTTATAAAGCTTCGTTTCTTTTCAGTTTTCACTCATTTCTCTCTCTCTCTCTGTCTCTCTCTTTCCTTCAAACACAATCCCTCTCTGCTAAGATTTCTCATTCTCCATTTTGCGAGACTCTCTTCCAACATTCCTCCATGACTGAAATTGAGGTCGATCTTCCACGTTTTTTCAAGGTTTTCCTCTCAGAAACGGCCTCTGAATCAATGGTAACACTCTCTCTATCTCTCTCTTTCTCTCTTCGTCCTTGTTCCATAAAGTCTCAGACTTTCAGGAATCTCAAGTACTAGTGTGAGAGTTTTTGTTCAGGGGCAAGAAAGAATCTTTAGTACTTAGCAGAAAAGTAGTTAGGAATTTGTTTCTTTAATCATGTTTCCTGGATGTCAAATCGGAAGATAGAAAATGAAGCTGTAGGCTTTTTGTTGTTGTTGAGATCTAACAGAAGTAAGCTCTAAAAATGGAAGTGATACAAGATTCTTGTTTTCATCTTCTGTCAAGTTTCCTTTTAGGTTCTTGTCTTCTGCTAAATAGCTCACTCTTCTTAACTGTCTTTACCTCATACTCTGTTGGAACTAAACTCACTGTGGTTTCTGATGTTTTGACTTATTCTGTGTTTGGATTCTCAGGTGATCCCGTTGTCCTTCATGGATGTTCTTGAAGATCCACTGCCAGAGACAGCGAAGCTCCAAGGCACTGGAGGGAGAACATGGACTGTGGGCTTCACTAAAGTACGGAGGCAAGCGTATTTCACAGCTGGATGGTCCAAGTTTGCAGAGGACCATGAACTCACGGACGGAGAGTTCTTGACTTTTGTCTACGACGGCTCTCGCACCTTCGAAGTCAGTGTCTACAATCGAATGGGTTGCAAAGTGACAAGAGCTCTTGCTGTGCCAACCATCGAGCTTACTGATTCCGATTCTGAGTCTCATGAAGTAGTAGTAGAAGAAGTTGAGGAAGAAGAAGAAGAGGCAGAGCATGAAGAAGAAGAAGAAGAAGAAGATGCGTCAGCGGAAGAAGAAGATGATGATGACAGTAGCTTCAATGAAAATGACGAGATAAGCCAGAGTGTTTACACGGTGGACAGCGAAGAGACCGAAGCGGATGATGCATGTGAGTTTATATATTTGTTTTTCAAAACTAATCATAAAAACAGAGACTTAACTTTAAAGATTGTGTTTTTTTTTTTTTTTTTTCAGTTGTTGCAGGGAGCTCTAGTGTGGGGGCTAAAGCTAAATCAGCTAATCCTTGTTTCAAGACTAGCCTCAAGCCAAGAATTTACGAGCTGGTAATTTGATTATACTCTTTGTTGTTTCTCAATATGGGATTTTGACAAAGTTTTTGTTTTTTGTTGTTGTGTGTAGTTGATCCCGGCGTATGTGGTGAGAAACAACAGGCTGGAGTTCGGAGAGTCGATAACGTACATTGACGACGAAGGGATCACAACAGGGGAAAGAGGGAAGTGGTCAGATGATAGGACTTGCTTCAAAGGATGGGACAGGATTTGCAGGAGGAACAAGCTCAAGAAGAAAGATGTTGTCACTTGCGAGATCTTGCACAAGAACTACCTTGTTCACTCCATCAAAATCCACATCACCCGCGGTTGACGAGTCTGAGTCTCTCACCATCATCATCAATTCATCATCATCATCGCTTTCATTTCTATCACTTTTATCAGAGACTATTATCAGTAGTATTGGCTTTTGTTTATTTAAAAAAACCTTGTGGAATTATTTATGTTTCTTGTTTTAGTTTGAATGGAACTTATTATTGTTAAATGCACTCATTGCTTGTTTTATAGTATGTGTTCAAGTCTCTGATTTGATCCATCGGATCATAGTGCTTCTTGACATTTAATGGTCACGATCTGTCGTATACTTGATTTCCAAACCATCAATCTCTGATTGAAACGAGACCGTTTTGCTTGTACTATTACTTTAGGTGAAAACCAAACGACATGCTTTAGTGAAAATCTCATATGACGTCGTCATCACAACACATTAAACAGACATAAATTTGGTTATTTTTGGTTGAAGCCTTTTGATTGGTGGAGGAGACATTGACACATTGTCAACAGTGTACGAAGCAACTTTTGGTGTCCGATTAGTTTTCCTGACCTACATCGTGTTTGAGGTTCAGTTTTATTATCTTTTAGGGATTGATTTATACAAATTTTGGGTTTATTTTATGTACGTACGTACTACGATATAACATGTATAAGATTTCTTGAAGATAGAAACATTACGAACATGAATATTTATATCGAATTACAGTACAAGCCAGCCAAGATAATCGTAAGACAAATAACAAAATGAAAACCAAACATATTACAAAAGACTGAAAGAGGCATGAAAGACCAATTTTATTTAATTTTAATTTTCTTATACTTGTTCACGCTTGATGAAGAGATGGTATGAGCTCTAGAGGAACTTTCTTGGCGATGTTTAAATCTCCCGCTTCTTCCATGTCAATGTCTTCAATGGTCATTCCCTCAGGCAAACTCCAATCGAAGAAGTAAAGAATGTTAAGAAAGCCAAGCTCAAGCATGTTGATTCCCAAACCCATACCAGGACACATCCTACGACCAGCTCCAAAGGGCAAGAGCTCGAAATGCTGACCCTTGTAGTTGATAGAGCTATTGAGAAACCTCTCAGGAATGAATTCTTCAGGGTTAGTCCAACATTTGGGATCACGTCCTATCGTGTAAGTGTTGATCTTGATCATGGCGTTTTTGGGAATGTAGTAGCCTTGAATCTCGATGTCAGCCATCGTTTGTCTTGGGAGCAAGAGAGGAGCAGGTGGATGTAATCTGAATGTTTCTTTGATCACAAGCTTCAAGTACTCAACTTTCTCAAGATCTTCTTCTGTGATCCTCTCTCTGTTGGATCCGAGTGTTGATCGAATCTCTTCCTGGAGTTTCTTCATTACTCTTGGATGTCTGGTTAGCTCTGTCATCATCCATGTCATCGTCGTTACTCCCGCGTTCACTCCAGCCAAAACAACATCCTGGTTAAAATGATATGCGCAATAATTTAGGGTTTTAATTTTAAGTGACAAGAAAAAAACAAACTATGAAATAAGATATATAAGTTAAAACATCGCTCCTTAAGTGATCTATATAAAACATCAAAGGTTAATATTAGAAGAGGTAACTATTCGCACTCACCGACATCATTGCTTTGAGATGATCGGAAGTGATCTTGAAAGAACCGAGTTTGGTGGGTCTATTGATCATATCCAACATGGCACTGACAAGGTCTAAGTGATCTTGGGGTTGTCCAACCTTCAAATGCTCATCGATCACATGTTGAAAGAAATTGCTTTGGTTGGCAAAGGCTTTGCTCAACCTCGAATGCTGACCGGAGATCCGGTCAAAAAGCCAGCCGAGACCCGTAGGGAAGAAGTCAGTGAATGCCAAGGCGCATACGTTGGTTTCTGTCTCTTTCACCAGCTCTTCAACTCTGTCTATATCGATGAAATCGCAATCGTGGAAGTCCTGTCCAAAGGCGAGTCTAAATATGATACCAGCGGTGAAGGAGTAAAGGGCTTTCCTCAAATCCACTAGGGTTTGTCTTTGAGCAGATTTTGATATTTTCTTGACAAGCAAGTCACCTTCCTCCTCTCTGACATACCGGAAAGACTTTTGCTTCTGTGGACTGAAGAACTCGAGCCCCACGAGCTTTTTCATTTCTCGCCAGAAGTCACCATACTGAGTGAAACCAATGTCTTTGAAGTTGTGAGTAAACAACCCGTTCGCCACCAACTTAGGTCGGTCGCAAGTCTCTAGGTCATAAGTCTTGAGAGCTTCTTTAGCTGCTTCCTTGGATGAGAACACGACCATAGGGACGACCCCGAAACGGAGAAGCATCACTGGTCCATGCTCTAAGGAAAGCTTGTGAAGATCACTGTGAAGCAATCCTTGAAGCTGGTGCAAATTTCCTATGATTGGAAGACCTGTAGGTCCTGGAGGAAGCTTCCTTTTCGAAGGTAACAGATTCTTAAAGATGATTAGAACGAGAGGGAAGAGGAAGAGGAAACTTAGGAATATACACATTATTCTTGTTCTTTGTAATTAGAGTGAAAAGCATTGTGTCCTCAAATGGCAATATATATGAACTAATGCATGTGTTTAGGCTTTTTTATTAAATCAAATTTTTGTGCGTTATATGATATCAGGGGAATTGAATTAATTACGGCAACTCTCAACGCATATCTTGTTCTTGTGTTTAAAGGGTGGAGAAGGACAAGCTCCCAAAAACATGTTAGATATAAAGCTCTCTCTCTAACCAAACCGACAAACATAGCGTTATAATCGACAAATCTAAACATCTTGTGGAACTGATTCGTGCAACGACAAATTAATTAGGTTTGACAATTTCTAATAGTTAAATGGAAAATATGAAATATCCAGTGGAAATTTTTTAAAACTAAATCTGCTTGTGGAGGTGGCATAGTAGGAATTGGATATGTGGTCAAAGTCAGACCAATACCCGTACGTACTTTCAGTGTTATGTAAACTTTAAAAACATGGTTTTATTTCAAGACTACAGCAATGAAAATAAAAAGATACAAATTTCCAAATTTAGATTAACATACATTTTATTGAAGATATAGACATTATGAACATGAATATGTATTACTTGTTTCACAATTCATACAAGCCAGATAGGATAAAAGTAAGAAAGGGAAAAAAAAAACGAAATGAAAAACCAAGCTGATTATCGAAAGAGGCAAACATAGAAATATGCAATACAACGTTACAAATCTTGATCTTATACATTATATATATGACATTTTTTCATTATTGATGAAGAGTTGGTACAAGCTCGAGAGGAACTTTCTTGGCGATGTTTATAGATCCAAGTTCTTCCATATCAATGTCTTCAATGGTCATTCCTTTGGGTAAAATCCAATTGAAGAAGTAAAGAAGGTTAAGAAGGCAGCGCTCAATAATGGTGATTCCCAAGGCCATCCCGGGACAGCTCCTACGACCAGATCCAAAGGGCAATAGCTCAAAATGCTGACCTTTGTAGTTGATAGAGGTATTTAAAAACCTCTCGGGAATGAATTCTTCAGGGCTAGTCCATATTTTGGGATCACGTCCTATGGCATAAGTGTTGATTTCGATCATGGTGTTCTTGGGAATGTTGTAGCCTTGAATCTCGATGTCGGACATTGTTAGTCTTGGGAGCAAGAGAGGAGCAGGTGGGTGTAATCTGAATGTTTCCTCGATCACCATCGTCAAGTACTCAACTTTTTCTAGATCTTCTTCAGTGATTCTCTCTTTGTTGGGACCTAGTGTACGTAGCTCGAATCTCTTCTTGGAGTTTCTTCATCACTCTCGGATGTCTGGTTAGCTCTGTCATCGCCCATATCATCGTGATTACTCCCGCGTTCACTCCCGCCAAAAAGACATCCTTATTAAATTATTATACAGAAATTTAGGGTTAATTACTTTGTCCCCAAGCCATAATAATTCTTTTCAAGTTACCTCCAATATAAAAATTAAAAAATTGGTACTAAGAGATAATTTGCAGTTTTGCACTCACCGACATGACTCCTTTGAGATGATCGGAAGTTATCTTGAAAGAATCGGATTTAGTGGGTTTATTGATCATGTCTAACATGACACTGACGAGGTCTAAGTGATCTTCAGGTTGTTCAGCCTTCAAGTGATCATTGATCACATGTTGCAAGAGATTTGAGAGTTTGGTAAAGCCTGTGTGCATCTTGGAATGCTGACCGGAGATCCGGTCTATAAGCCATCCGAGACCCGTGGGGAAGAAGTCAGTGAATGCCAAAGCGCCTACGTTGGTCTCTGACTCTATCACCAGCTCTTCGACTCTGTCCATATCGATGAAATCACACTCGTGGAAGTTATGTCCAAAGGCAAGTCTAAATATGATACCGGCGGTGAAGGAAAATAGGGTTTTCCCCAAGTCCACCGAGGTTTCTGTCTGAGCATGATTTGATAGTTTCTTGACTAGCAAGTCACTCTCTTCCTCTTTGATATACCGATAAGACTTTTGCTTTTTCGGACTAAAGAGCTCGAGCCCAACGAGCTTTTTCATCTCTCGCCAGTCCTCACCATACTTGGTGAAACCAATGTCTTTGAAGTTGTAAGTTAACAACCCGGCCGCGACCATTTTAGGTCGGGTGCAAGTCTCTAGGTCATGAATCTTCAGAACTTCTTTAGCTGCTTCCTTGGAAGAGAAGACAACCACAGGGACGACCCCGAGACGGAGAAGCATGACCGGTCCATGTTCTAGGGAGAGTTTGTGAAGAGATCTATGAAGAAATTTTCCAAGCTGGTGCAAGTTTCCTAGGATCGGAAGACCCGTAGGTCCAGGAGGAAGCTTACTTTTGGAACGTAAAAGCTTCTTAAACAGAACATAAGAAAGAGGGAAGAGGAAGAGAAGGAAGATACACATTATTCTTCTTCCTTTCTTTCGAACTCTATTTTTCTCTGTATGTGGAGTGAAGAACATAATGTTCTCTAAGATGCGATATTAATTATATATAGGCAATGCATGTGGTTAGGTTTTTATACTAATTCAAAGTTTTTGTTTTTTATCTTAGAACAATTGGTATGAAGGCACTTCTCTCGAGGGATATCTTGTTCCTGGCTATGTGTGATGGGTGGAGAAGGAGGCATCTCAGAAAACACAGTTTAGATATAAAGACCTCTCTCCAACCAAACCGACAATATAAGGTGGCGATGAAGAAAATCTATTAACATTTTTTTGTGGAACTGATTCGTGTAACCACCAAACATCTTTTGTGGATCTAAAAACGAACTACAATAGTTGAACCAAGTAAATTATTTTTTCTGAGCTTCATGCAAATTTAAAACCAATGAAGAAACCTTCAAATTTATCAGGTTTTCTCATATTTTCGTTGAATTTTTTTTTTCTACCCAATAATGTAATTTCAGCTTCTTTTTTTTATGAATAATTAATGTAGTTTATACTTTTCTTTATTGATACAATAGATTATACTATTGCAGTATTGCTTAGTGATATAAAGGACCGTTGTTCTGTTTATTAATTTAAACATAATGAAATGATAAAGACCGTTCTTCTATTTTTTTAATTTTACAAAAAAACGTTCGGGACTTCTGGTCAATGACTCAATATATTATATTTCGGTTCAATCCTTGAAGAGCATAAACGAAGTTTTGACTCCAACAGTTCTGGTCTTTGGGAATGTATTTTACAAGTAACTCAAAGAAAACTTCATGCTTTTGAAAACAATAAACATGACCAAAGTTGCAACTAGACTTAATGTTATGTCAACTTCTTCTCTCTTTTTTTTGGTCACCGTAAAGCGGATTTTTATCCAGAACACCATTTCAATAAAAAAAAATACAATTTTTAGATTACATAAGTTTTATTGATTCTTCAAAACAAAACATAAGTTTTATTGAAGAAATTATTGAAATATAATTATACATGTAACAAATAAGACAACAAGCGTTAAACAAATACAAAAACAATAGTAAAGTAGACAAACATAGAAATGTTGTCTTATTGAAATGTATTACATTCTTCACCAGCGATGAAGAGTCGGTACGAGCTCAAGAGGGACTTTCTTGGCGATGACGAAAGCTCCGACTTCTTCCATGTCGATGTCTTTAATGGTCGTTCCCTCGGGCAAACTCCAATCGAAGAAGTAAAGAAGGTTAAGAAGGCCAAGCTCCACAATGGTGATACCTGTACCCATCCCGGGACATATCCTACGTCCCCCTCCAAACGGCAATAGCTCAAAATGCTGACCCTTAATGTCGATAGGGTTATTGGCAAACCTCTCGGGTATGAACTCGTCGGGGTTGGTCCAGTTTTTGGGATCACGGTTTATCGCGTAAGTGTTGATTTGGAGCATGGTGTCCTTGGGAATGTTGTAGCCTTGGATCTTGACGTCTGACATTGTCTGTCTTGGGAGCAAGAGAGGAACAGGTGGGTGAAGTCTGAATGTTTCCTGGATCACAATCTTCAAGTACTCAACTTTCTCAAGATCTTCTTCTGTGATTCTGTCTTTGTTGGGTCCTAGTATTGCTCGAATTTCTTCTTGGAGTTTCTTCATCACTATCGGATGTCTCGCTAGCTCTGTCATATTCCATATCATCGTGATTGCTCCCGCGTTCACTCCAGCCAAGAACACATCCTGATCAAAGGAAATATAAGATAAATTAATTCGTGATTTAAGTTAACTTGCTTCCCAAGCTACAATATTTTACTTAAGAATTATTGGTACTTACCGACATGACTCCTTTGAGATGGTCCTCAGTGACTTTGAAAGAACCGGCTTTTGTTGGTTGGTTGATCATATCCAACATGACACTGATGATGTCTGAGTGATCTTGGGGTTGTCCAGTCTTCAAATGATCAGCGATCACATGGTTAAAGAACTTGTCGAGTTTAGCAAAGGCTTTCTTTACCTTCGAGTACTGACCGGATATCCGATCTATGACCCATCCGGCAGGGAAGAAGTCGGCGAACGCCAAAGTACCAATGCTGGTCTCTGATTCAAGCACCAACTCTTCCACTTTATCCATATCGACAAAATCGCACTCGTGGAAGTTTTGTCCAAAAGCAAGTCTACAAATGATGCTGGCAGCGAAGGTGAAAATGACTTTCCTCAAATCAACTGATGAGGTTGGTGTCTCATTAGCAGAATTTGATAGCTTCTTGACCAACAACTCGCTCTCTCCCTCTCTAATATACCTGAAAGACTTGAGCTTCTTCTGGCTAAAAAGCTCGTGCACCGCGATTTTCCTCATCTCTCTCCAGTCGTCACCGTAGGTTGCAAAACCTATGTCTTTGAAGTTGTAAGTAAACAACCCAATCCCGACCGACTTAGGTCGGCCACAAGTCTCAAGATCATGAGTCTTAAGCACTTCCTCAGCTCCTTCTTTGGAAGAGACAACGACAACAGGGACCACGCCAAAATGGAGAAGCATCACTGGTCCATATTCTTGGGAGATTTTCTGAAGAGATGTGTGGAGAAATTTCCCAAGCTGGTGCAAGTTTCCGATGATCGGAAGACGCTTAGGTCCCGGAGGAAGATTCAAATTCCCTTTCGAGGATGAAATCCTTTTAAGGAGGATCAAAGAGATAGGGAAGAGGAAGAGGAAACAAAGGATCAAGATAGACATTATTCTTGTTTTTTCTTTTCTTTAGGGCTAAGTTTCTTGTTGTGTTTGTTTGAAGTGAAGAGTGAATATTTAGTTCTCAAAGACGCGCAATATATATACCCATGGAGTGGAGGCAAATGGCAATGCATGGGGTTGAGTTTTGACTAAATCAAAGTTTATGTTTATTTTACTCTTTGTTTCGTAGACAAGAAAGTTTCAGTTTCAGTTATTATGACCCTTTATTATATCATATTGTGTTTGAATAAAGTCAACTATCTCGAGGCACATAACATAATGCATATAGTTTGATGGTGAGAAACACAAAACTTGTTTTATACTTTTATGTATTTTTGTAAATGGTAGATATCTTGTCTTGGTAGAGAAATTGAATACTCGATCGTTATCAAAATTGATGAATATATTAAGATCAAACTAGGGCATTCATAAGACTCAGTAACTTTGGCAGTCCTCTTAAATTCCAGACTGATCCAGTTAATCATTCTAATTATAAAAGAAAAATCTCTAAAAGCCTCTACATAGTATGTTTATCAATACTATTAGTGTTTCAAAAAACTAATTAAAAAACTAATACGTCGAAGCGTTTGTACGGTAACGGCAATACAAGGTAAGGTTTAGCGCGTATACGAGTGAGTCGTTGGTCAAATAGCTTCCAAATAAATTGAACGACGAGAGACTGTGGTAATAAAAAATATCTATTCAATTATTTCTTTACCAATATGGAAGCTTAAGAATTTTTTTTATGTCAATCCAACAATTCCTCTATTGACTTCAAACGATTAACGATTTCTTTTATTTATTAGAAAGTCACAATTTGTTTGCAAATGTAGAATTTCAAACAGATATCTCGTAGTCGTCTAAAAAGTTAGTTATTCGTTTTTGAATCTTTCGGATGAAAATTGATAATTTATTTGACAAGTATCTGACCTGGTATACAAATTTTTGTCTTTCATATCATATGTATATATGTTAAATGTATTCCGAAGAAGATAAAACCAAGATTTAAAATAAAAATTAATAAGAAAACTTATAATTGATTTGTGTTTAAGAATGATTTTAAATAATATGTTTGTGTATAACATTTAAAAATATGTACTGTATTTTTGAATTATCTAAACTAACTAAAACTGGGAATATACACAAAAAGATTTCCTAGTTTTCAACAGTTACTTAAAAACCGTTGAAGAGTGAAGACAAAATAAAACTTTTTGATGATAAACTCATTTTGTAATAGGTGATCGACTAAAGTACGATCTTATGAGCACAGTAAAGTACGTAGTATTAATATTACTTGGATCAAGATAAATTACTTTTTCAAAAATTGCATGCTAGGTTTAAAAACTGCATGCTAGGTTGTAAGCTGAAATTTTGAAATGGTAGACTATAGAGAAAAGAGAATACATGACGTTACTTTTTTTTTTTTTTTTTTTTTTATAAAGTGAATACATGACGTTACGTTGAACACATTGCCCCTCTTGTCATCTCGTTTCTTTATTTCGTGAGAAGTGAGTTTTCTTTGTTTGCTGTTGAAATCCACGAAATAAATTAATCGGATAATGAAAAATAAAAAGTCGCCGATGTAATGAAAGTCGTAAAATGAAGTTCTGTTCGACGTCGTTTCGCTGATACGACAAAGTCACCAATCCACGTACGTGGCTTGGTCTTGATCTTGATCTTGTAAAAGTTTTATCACCTGAATTTCATTATGAAAAAGTTTATTTTGACGTCAGAAGCAAGTAGCATATACTCCCATATATTGAATCAAGTCATTGCAAATAAAAATAAAAAGTAAAAACACAATATGGGCCGAGCCTGTGAGCCCATATATGTTTCAAATTGAAACGGCCCAACTAATGTCCTCGCTCTAAAACTTTTAGGCTCCTTCTTCTCCCTCTCCAATTCACCGTTGTTTCTGGTTTCGATTCAGGTAACTGAATAAAATTTTGTCTACTTTTAATTTCAGTTTCCGGCGATCATTGTCTGCGAAGCATATCGTATTTTGCAAAGGGTATTTCTTTTCTAATCAATAATTGTATCTCCATACACAACGAAAATTCGTAAGTTTGTGGTTGTGGGGATGCTTTGGTTTAATCTGGTGTTAGCTTTTTGGTATATATCTAGAGATTCAGAGGACAAAGTCTGAAACTTGTACATTCTTTTAGCTAAATTTGTTATTTTTTTAACTGGAAGCAGATTGAATTGATCTAATTCATCTATAAGTTCCGTGATAAAGTATAAATTTTGGGATTCTGCACACTCTTCTGTCAAATATCTTTAGCTGAATTTGTTCTGTATTTTTGGTTAGAGGGCTTTCTGCTGAATGAATTAACATCAACTGTTTTGTATACATTTCAGCAAAGAAGGAAAGCAAACACATAATGACTCCAACAAAAAAACTGAAGCTTATTCCGGTGAATGGAAAGTCGCCAGAGAAGACGAAGAAGCTGCATGCTTCAGGTGAGATGTCAAACTTTGAACCTTTTCCACTGAAGGGAAGAGGCGCTATTACGAACACATTGATCGATGATTCTTGAGGATTGTCTCTTTGGGGATGTTATGTGATCCATGGAGTCTTGGTACTTAATCTTTGTGTTTTCTTCAGGTAATCTTTCTCCGTTCAAGAGAGATATCGATGAGCTCATAGACGAGTTTGTGGAGGTACTTTTGTTTTCTTTCTCCATCTTTGTTAGCTCTTTCAAACTTTTTTCAGGCTTTCAGATTTGCTGAGTCTCTGGGTTTACTTTCAGGGTGATTTGACAACGTTTGATGAGATGAAGAGTGTGTGGCTATCTCGAAAGTTTTCTTACATATTTGAAGCCATTCCTGACACCAAGTTAGCCTTTTTCATGCAGTCACTGTATGCTCATACCATCGGTACGCTTGAGTTCTAATTCATGGATTTTTGGAACACTCAGAATGAGTTATCTGTTGCTGTCTGTTTTCACATTATGCTTGTTTTCTTAGCTAAACTCACAAACCAACTTTATGTTTACAGGTCACATGGTTAGTATTGATTCTTTTTCACGGAGACTTGGAGGTCTTTACTGTCTCTATTGCCTTCATGAGATCCAACCTTTTAAACCCAAGTTCCGGATTTATATCTCACTTCGTAAGTGTTTTCACCATTTGTTGTAAGCTGCTGTGATGTGATTTATCAGTTTGGCTTTTGCTGATTACAACATCATTTGTAGTTTTATATTCTAACTGAAAACTTGTACGGTTCTCATGTTGCAGAAGAGCTTGGAAAATTTAGGGATCTTGTAGTTGAGGCAAAAGATAAAGGTGTAGAGATAGCTACTGTTGTGGCGAAACAAATGCTTGACAAAAACGTGTTTATATTTGGAGCTGTGGACGTTAACGAAGTGTCTGCAACCGAGAAACGCTATCATTTAACAGAGATTCAGAACGCATGTATACGCTTAGCCTATGGAAAGTATGTCATCTTGTCCCTTAAAATTCATTTCTGGTCTTAGTTTTTGAATAACATTTTTTAGTGATATGATTCTCATCTTCACTTTGAACAGATTAACCTCTGACACCGAGATTGAGAAATTCATTCATTTGGATATGGTGAGTACCACACACATATTTGCAGATATCTTCAACAGTGTTGATTTTGTTATTTACTAAAGTTTTCTCCATTGTACTTATCTTTGATGTTTTGTGCTTATCAGGGTAATGAAGTTGATCTGAGTTCTCTACATAAAAGGTCTATAGAGTACGCAGAGGCCAAGAAGCGTGCTATCAAAAGTATGCTACTCCATATCAACTGTTTGTCTGCAATTTTTTTAATTTCTCCATACCACTGAAAGGGGAAAATTGTTAAGTTGATTTGATTTGGAGCTCTGTTGTGATGCATGTGTGTTTTGGTTATCTTAAAGGTGCAGGAGAAATAGTGGAGGTTGAGGACATAAAGCACATATCCGAAGAGAAAGAGTTGATGGGGGAGAGAGTGGAGAAACTGAAAGAGGAATGGGATTCACAAAGATGTTCATTCTATGAACAAACCAAGCTTGATTCTTTTACGGCAACGACAGAGGAACTTCTGAAGGATGTTGAACATGATGAGGATGATGGGTTTGATGAGCTTGATCACCTACTTTTTCATAGCTGATTCAGCCACTGCAATCACTGTTTAGAGTTTTTTGAATGCTCGCTCGCTAATGAAAAGCTCTCTGTAGATATGTCATTGACTTATTGACAGGTCGGTTTGCCTCGATCAGACTTTGTAGCTAATGATAGATCTTATGGTTCTGATAATGAAATTTCGGTATATTTTTGATATTTTCTAAGACTAAATTTGCTATATTTTTTATCAAGTTGAGTAACACAACTTACAAGATTCACCCAAAGAACCTCTATGGATTAACGGATGTTGACACATAAGAGATTTCCATCAGCAATTGATGAATTATATCTTCTTTATCTGAGATATCATCTTTGTTTTACAAGAATTATTAAATTGACGAATCAGCAATTAATGAATTATATCTTCTTTATCTCTGAGTTACTTACACCAGAATTGCCGATATTATTTTCATAAGTTTTTTGGTTATATCTGTTTTAACACGTCATACGTTCTTGTCTGAGGTGTGCATTTATCTACAGTATTAAATAAATAAAAACAAGAGAAGTTTTATGTGGCTGATTTGGACAAATGACTTTGGTGATTGTATTTAGTTTGAGATAATGTGGGACCCACATAAGAGGGTTGGTGAGACGAGTGGTGTCTGCTGAATCTTTGCCACTGTGGTTGTTGCCTTGTGTGGACCCTTTTATTTCTTCCTCTTGTGCGAGTCCATTTTTAGCAGGGGCCTACTCAGATGATCACTGATTTGATTTTATAATGTAAAACTCGAGTGTTTTTTTTTTTTTTTTTTTCCGCTTAGTCAAACACTTTAGGTCCTCGACGCGTCTAAAGGAATTAGATCGGGTCGATGGCAAAGTTATAAATAATAATAGGATTGAAGAAACTAAAGAATAACTAAACCAATATCGTGTAGGAAAAAAGATTGATCTTACTAGTTTAGTTAGAGCTTGACTTGTTGCTTTGATTCCCATTTTTGCAACACGGAACGTATCCAGTGATTGGAATTATAAATTTACATTTTTATTAAAATTCAAAATTGACAGTTGATAGTATATAAGTATATACGTTAATTTGTTGCTGATTGACTATTTAATATTCGTTGGTATTTCGAATCCGCCTTGAGAAAAATCACATTACTAGCTAGTAGGTGATCCACGTCGGTGAAAACAGGTCCCGTCGTAGTCCCATCTCTTTGTAAGCGCATGATCATCGTGATGCTAAGTTCAAGAACGCTCAGATGCTAAACTGTCAAATCTCAGCCCGAGATGGAGCAAGAGACATTACAAGATGGCCGTCAGTGAATGATGCATTCAAGATTGTAAAAATGCTATAAAAGGACGAAAGAGAGGGATTAGAGACCACCCTTCTGTTTAAATAAAAATGTACTGAAATCAAATACCTCATCGGATCTTCTATCCACAGCCATGTTAAAAAAAGGTTACAAAAATATTTTCAACTTAGATAAATGATGTTTTTAACAAAGAACCAGCTGATCGGTTTATGATAAGTCTACTGATACATTGTGTTATTGAATTTCTTTTACTTCAGTGTTGTCTCAGTTAAAATTTATTTATGATTTAGAACAACACCGAAATAATACTTTCGTGGTCCTTTAAAATTAGGTACCGACATGTCAAATATCTTCGTAAAATACTAAAAGTACAAAGTTTATGATTATTAGTTTCATATTGAAGTCATCGCCTACTACAACAATAGGAAAGAGCATGCAGACATGCAAGTGTTCAAATCAAACCCATCTTACCAACCCACTACTTCTTTTAGCCATACTAGTTTGGAGACACTTTCAATTTCCGTGTACAGTTGATTTACGTATTAGCTATACTTATTTGTGAAATAACTTTCTTTTAAAATGTTAGTTATTGCTTTTCGGCTAAAGAGTAGTTCGATATCACCATCGAATTCTCAATTAAATATAAAAACAAAAACGACTTCACTTTATCTAACCTACAACCAAATTAGACAGGATCGATCTTTCAACCTAATACAAATTTGAATACATCTATAGTCTGTTAGTGAAATGGCTATAAATTAGTTATATCTTACAACAAATTAGGTTTAGGATCTGACTTTATGGTGGTAAAACATTTTGAAAACTTGCATTCACTTTCTAGTATGTGGATGACTGGCACGCTTATTGTAACAAATTATGTTGAAGTGGCATGACGCTGACGTTTGAATCTTCTTTTTTACAATCCATAGTACATATATACAGCAAACCAACAAAAGTAATCGTCACAGAAATTTAGAGGTCAACTTAGATAGATATGGTTCTTTTTTTGTTTTTTTGCAGAAGAAGTAGAAATGGTTCTTAACAGAGAATATGATGCTCGATTAGTCAATTCTCCTTCACTGTTATATATATGCACAAATTTAGAGTTTTACTTTTAGATACACGTCAATGAACAGTAACTAAATAACTTACTCTTCTAATTTCGTCAGACGAAAACTGGAAAATCGTTTAAAGAAGAATAAGTCATCACATATAATACAAATACACAATCATGCAGCAAACCGTGTAACATGATGCTGAATAAATATGATTTCATGTCAAAAACGAGTTTATGTTCTTTTTTTTCTTGAAATATGGTATAGAGTCGCATTTCTATTTAGAATTTGTATCGCTCTTGACATATGTATGTCTATCTTATTTTGTTTGTGTTTGAGAAATGAGTATATATATAAAGAAACAGAGAAATGTTTAAAAAAAATTGTTTTACTAATGTGGATACACTAGATGGAGATAAAATGCACTGTATTGGTATTAACAAAAAAGACTACTTTTGTGAAACAAAAGAAATAACATTTCAAAAAGGGAAAAAGTATATATATTACCTAAAAAATATGATAATTAACTAAACCAAAACTTCTTTTGATAATTAATCATTTCGGTCTCTTTGAGAAAAAATTGTATCAACTAACTATAAAGTCTATAATGAGACGAAACAACTAAAATCTCTTATAATATTTCTTCAAAACGACCAGAAATGGTGTTATTTGGTGGGGACTTTGAATTGACTCTACTACACATTACACATTACATACCTACTCCTCCCATGTTGATCATTCCCAAACCATAATCTATCGTAAAGTAATATTGTCCCATAGTCTCACCAACCGCAAAACGCTATTTTCCCTCAGCCACCAGCCGCGACCACCTTTTCAGAAAGAGATCTTTTTGCGGCTCAAACCAAACTCACGTTTTCCATTCTCCACCGTCAGATCCTCAATCTTCATCCAACGATCATCGTTAAACTCTCACCCACCCCTCAATCTCATTTCTTTATTTAATTTAATTACGTAAATAAACAAAAAACTTGTTCTCTTCTTTTGTGCTTACCTAACATCAAACACTACAACATCGTCTTCTTATTTAAACCACTCTTTTCTCTTCTCTTCTTCCTCAGGATTCAGGAACCAAATCTCCAAAATCCCTTCACCAACAATTCAAATTATCTCTCTCTCTCTCTCTCTCTCATTCACCAACAATTCAAAAGATCTGATCTTATTAATTAAACGAACAATTCGAAAACCAATGGATCAGATTAACGGATCAGTTCACCAAAACGGCCAAATCGAAGCCATGTTGTGCGGCGGAGCAGAGAAGACGACAGTGGCTGTGAAGACGGTGTTGGCCGATCCGTTGAATTGGGGTGCTGCGGCGGAGCAGATGAAAGGGAGTCATTTGGATGAGGTGAAGAGGATGGTCGAGGAGTACCGGAGACCGGTGGTGAATCTCGGCGGAGAGACGCTGACGATCGGACAAGTCGCTGCGATCTCCACCGTCGGTGGAAGCGTTAAGGTTGAGCTAGCGGAGTCTTCGAGAGCCGGCGTGAAAGCTAGCAGCGATTGGGTTATGGAGAGTATGGGGAAAGGTACTGACAGTTACGGTGTCACCACCGGCTTTGGAGCTACTTCTCACCGGCGAACCAAAAACGGAGTCGCATTGCAAAAGGAGCTCATTAGGTAATTTAATTAAACTTGTTGAATAATACCAAAGTTTAGATCACGTAGTTTATGAGTATTTAATTTAATTAGATTTAAGGAATCTGATCAAACATTTTTTTAATTTTTTTCGAAACTTGGGTTATGTGATCAGAGAAAAATATTAATTTAGTGGATTAAAGTGGATTCTCGGCAGAGAATTTGGTGTTGTATAATTGTCACTGAATATACTCACGAGGACAAAATAAGTTTTTGGTTGTATTTATGAGGATCATTTCATTTGCATGGCAAGAAACACGCCGGGTGGATGACTCGGGTCGGGTCTAGGTCCATCTAAAGTCTATTTATTTAATTTAATTTGATTTTAACGAAATTCTATTTGTTTGTTGTTCCGTTACAGATTTCTGAACGCCGGAATATTCGGAAGCACGAAGGAAACATGCCACACGCTGCCGCAATCCGCCACGAGAGCCGCCATGCTCGTCCGAGTCAACACTCTTCTCCAAGGTTACTCCGGGATCCGATTCGAAATCCTCGAAGCGATCACCAGTCTTCTCAACAGCAACATATCTCCCAATCTTCCCCTCCGTGGAACCATAACCGCCTCCGGCGATCTCGTTCCTCTCTCCTACATCGCTGGTCTCCTCACCGGCCGTCCCAATTCCAAAGCCACCGGTCCCAACGGTGAAACCCTAACCGCTGAGGAAGCCTTCGAGAAAGCCGGAATCAGCTCCGGATTCTTCGATCTGCAGCCCAAGGAAGGTTTAGCGCTCGTTAACGGCACGGCGGTTGGATCTGGAATGGCGTCGATGGTTCTATTCGAAGCGAATGTTCAATCGGTGTTGGCGGAGGTTTTATCAGCGATTTTCGCGGAGGTGATGAGCGGGAAACCTGAATTCACCGATCACCTGACTCACAGATTGAAGCATCACCCGGGGCAAATCGAAGCGGCGGCGATAATGGAGCACATCCTCGACGGAAGCTCGTACATGAAATTGGCTCAAAAGCTTCACGAGATGGATCCGTTGCAGAAGCCGAAACAGGACCGTTACGCTCTCCGTACCTCTCCTCAATGGCTCGGCCCTCAGATCGAAGTAATCCGTCAGGCGACGAAATCGATCGAGCGTGAAATCAACTCCGTCAACGACAATCCGCTAATCGACGTCTCCAGGAACAAGGCGATTCACGGCGGTAACTTCCAGGGAACGCCAATCGGAGTTTCTATGGACAACACGCGTCTCGCGATCGCAGCGATTGGGAAGCTAATGTTCGCTCAATTCTCGGAGCTTGTTAACGATTTCTACAACAATGGACTTCCTTCGAATCTAACAGCTTCCAACAACCCAAGCTTGGATTACGGATTCAAAGGAGCAGAGATCGCCATGGCTTCTTACTGCTCAGAGCTTCAATACCTTGCGAATCCAGTCACTAGCCACGTTCAATCAGCTGAACAACACAACCAGGATGTGAACTCTCTCGGATTAATCTCGTCTCGCAAAACTTCTGAAGCTGTTGACATTCTCAAGCTAATGTCAACGACGTTCCTCGTAGCTATATGCCAAGCGGTTGATTTGAGACACTTGGAAGAGAATCTGAGACAAACGGTGAAGAACACAGTTTCTCAGGTGGCTAAGAAAGTACTAACCACTGGAGTCAACGGTGAGCTACATCCGTCACGCTTCTGCGAGAAGGATTTGCTCAAGGTCGTCGATCGTGAACAAGTGTTCACATACGTGGACGATCCCTGTAGCGCCACGTACCCACTGATGCAGAAGCTGAGACAAGTCATCGTCGATCACGCTTTGTCCAACGGTGAGACGGAGAAGAACGCAGCTACTTCAATCTTCCAGAAGATCGTAGCTTTCGAGGAGGAGCTCAAGGTGGTGCTTCCAAAGGAAGTGGATGCGGCTAGAGCGGCGTACGGTAACGGAACCGCGGCGATTCCGAACAGGATTAAGGAATGCCGGTCGTATCCGTTGTACAAATTCGTGAGGGAGGAGCTTGGGACGAAGTTGCTGACCGGAGAAAAAGATGTGTCCCCAGGAGAAGAGTTTGATAAGGTTTTCACTGCAATGTGTGAAGGCAAGATTATTGATCCGTTGATGGATTGTCTCAAGGAATGGAACGGAGCTCCGATTCCGATTTGCTAAGAAAGCATTCCTCTGTTTTTTTTGTTTTGTCCTATCTCAACTTTGTTGTTTTTTTCTTTCTTATATATGTCTGAATTGAGTGTTTTACTTTTACCAGTGAGTGATTGTAATGTGAATGATGTCACTTTGTATGATATAATAATATACGAATTACGTGTATAACTCGTTATAATATCTCCATTCTTACATTTACATGCAAATGCGGTTCCTCTGATGCTGAGGAAGTCCACTGCTACGACCAACATGAAGAAAAGGTGTTCTCACTCATGGAATACACAGTCCTCAAGCATCTTTGAGGCTTGAGCTTGATCCACCAAAGCCTTGAATATTGGATGTTTAAGCAAACTCATCTCTGTCAAAACCTCTTCTAATCATCACCTGAATACATTACAAAATTTTCTCTCGAAACATCTTTTAGTATTGATTCATTTTCTTTCTTGAATCCCCAAGAAACCTTCTAGCAGCAACTCTCAGCATGATGATGTACAACAAGTATGACTATGGATTTGCGCTTCATGATCTTCAAAAATTCACAGGCTTTTTCATGAACTTGTTCTTCCTTTCTGAGTATAGAACAAGAGGTCAAATAAGAATGATGAATAGAGATAGAGAATGGCTTTGTAAGTACAGTGATGAAGGACAATTATTAATATAGATGATTGATTACAGAGCTTAGATAGAAAAGGTTACGGTGTCCATCCATGGTGATGTTAAACGCTATGTTTTTGATATGTGATGCTGATATTGTCAGAGAATCTCATAATGATTGAAAAAGCTTCCACTTTCTCTCTGTCAATTGCTGCTATTAGTTTTACCATCATTGAAATGAATTTGTCAAGAAGTAAGATTTCTGCTACTTGAGAACGAGAGGTTATGACAAATAGAGCGTTTTGCATAGAGCATGTGACCTCCGAGAACTATTGTGTATGTTGTTGTTTGCACGAGCTAGAAGCTCTAAGAAATGACCACAACGTTTTAGCAAAAGATTCCATGTTGCCCTGTAATAACTCCAAAGATTGCATAGACATAAATTGTTCAGCATCTAAAGGACTTGCATAATGCTTAGATATAAAGGGCCAGAAAAGAAAAATTCAGTAGTAATATGATCTCTCTTTCAGTCTTTTTGTTAACTCTGTCAAATTTACAAATAGCAACATAACCTAACAAGCAACGACAAGTTATCCACAAGTGACACCATTCACTTTATTTATATCATACAAAGTGACACCACACTCAATTTAAAGTTTCAAACATACGGTACAAATACAAAAAAAAAAAAAAAAAAAAAAAAACAGAACAGAGGAATACTCTCTCTTAACAAATCGGAATCGGAGCTCCGTTCCACTCCTTGAGACATTCCATCAATGGATCAATAATTTTACCTTCACACATTGCAGTATAAACCCTATCAAACTCTTCTCCGGGAGACACAACCTTCTCTCCGGTCAACAACTTCGTCCCGAGCTCTTCCCTCACGAATTTGTACAATGGATACGACCGACATTCGTTAATCCTGTTCGGAATTGCCGCATTCCCACTAGTGTAAGCCGCTCTGGTAGCCTCCACTTCCTTTGGAAGCACCATCCTGAGCTCCTCCTCGAAAGCTACGATCTTTTGGAAAATCGAAGTCCCTGCATTCTTCTCAGTCTCCCCGTTGGATAAAGCGTGATCGACGATGAATTGTCTTAGTTTCTGCATCAGTGGGTACGTGGCCTTACAGGGATCGTCGATGTATGTGAACACTTGTTCACGATCAACGACTTTGAGCAAGTCTTTCTCGCAGAAGCGTGAAGGATGATGTAGCTCGCCGTTGACTCCAGTGATCAGGACTTTCTTAGCCACCTGAGAAACTGTGCTCTTCACAGTTTGCCTCAGATTCTCCTCCAAATGTCTCAAATCAACCGCTTGACATAAAGCAACGAGGAACGTCGTTGACATTAGCTTGAGAATGTCAACAGCTTCCGAGGTTTTGCGAGATGAGATTAGTCCCAGAGAATTCACGCCTTGGTTGTGTTGTTCAGCTGATTGAACATGGCTAGTGACTGGATTCGCTAGGTATTGAAGCTCTGAGCAGTAAGAAGCCATGGCGATCTCTGCTCCTTTGAATCCATAATCCAAGCTTGGGTTTTTCGAAGCTGCTAGATTCGAAGGAAGTCCATTGTTATAGAAGTCGTTGACAAGCTCTGAGAATTGAGCGAACATGAGCTTCCCAATCGCAGCGATCGCGAGACGCGTGTTGTCCATAGAAACTCCGATTGGCGTTCCCTGGAAGTTACCGCCGTGAATCGCCTTGTTCCTGGAGACGTCGATCAGAGGATTGTCGTTGACGGAGTTGATTTCACGCTCGATCGATTTCGTCGCCTGACAGATAACTTCGATCTGAGGGCCGAGCCATTGAGGGGAGGTACGGAGAGCGTAACGGTCCTGTTTCGGCTTCTGCAACGGATCCATCTCGTGAAGCTTTTGAGCCAATTTCATGTACGAGCTTCCGTCGAGGATGTGCTCCATTATCGCCGCCGCTTCGATTTGTCCCGGGTGATGCTTCAATCTGTGAGTCAGATGATCGGTGAACTCAGGTTTCCCGCTCATCACCTCCGCGAAAATCGCTGATAAAACTTCCGCCAGAACCGATTGAACATTCGCTTCGAATAGAACCATCGAAGCCATGGCGGATCCAACCGCCGTGCCGGTGATGAGCGCTAACCCTTCCTTGGGCTGCAGATCGAAGAATCCAGTGCTGATTCCGGCTTTTTTGAAAGCTTCTTCAGCGGTTAAGGATTCACCATTGGGACCGGTGGCTTTTGAATTGGGACGGCCGGTGAGGAGCCCTGCGATGTAGGAGAGAGGAACGAGATCGCCGGAGGCGGTAACGGTTCCACGGAGGGGGAGAGAAGGAGTGATGTTTTGATTGAGGAGACTGGTGATGGCTTCGAGGATATCGAATCGGATGCCGGAGAATCCTTGGAGGAGAGTGTTGACACGGACGAGCATGGCGGCTCTCGTGGCGGATAGCGGCAGCGTGTGGCATGTCTCCTTCGAGTTCCCAAATATTCCGGCGTTCGCAAATCTGAAACGGAATAGCAAACAACATTTCGTGTCTAATCTAATCTAATATTAATAAATCAGCAGTCACCTCATAGTCTATATGAACGACATGTATCTCCCATTATTTCTGAATGTAATTTTTTTTTCGAAAACGATTAAATTTTTATTTTTATTTTAGCTTTAATTTTTCTTCATAGACCCACGATCTCAAACGTTTCCCAAACCCACAATCCCAGTTTCAACCACCTTTCACTTTCACAATGTATATAACTTATAGATCGAGCATTCTCAAAAGTAACTAACTAAATTTCTTCTTCTAAAATTACAGTATTTTTTTCTCTCAATCCTCATCAAATTTCTGCTGCATCGTTTTAGTTGTCTTCATTGCAATTTCTGATATTGATTTGATTTAGATTTTAACGATTGAAATCAGAATACTCTAATGTATTTCTTTTTTCTTCCATTTGTTAAATTGATTGTTGGAATCCTTACATGTTCTGAATCTGGATTTTTTTTTTCGCAAATCGCAGATCGCAGAAACACCGATTTATGCTAAAGCTCTAGCGTCGCCTTACTTGAGATTTTCATTCTCTCTCACTTAAAAAAGGTATTTTCAGATATTATTGATTCCTAATTTTGTTTATTTATGGGATTTTTCATGATTTCAAGTAATAATCCTTGGCAGGCTTCGGATAGTATTCATCAGAATCTTTAACTGACGATCCCCCGTTTTGCTTCTTCTTTTTACAGACTCAGAGGACTCTTCTTCTTCTTCTTCTTCTTCAACCAAATTGTAAACTCTTAGTAGTTTATCTACATCATTATTCTCATCGGCAACTCCTTCTTTATCTTCTTCGCCAGCCTCGACCTCGGAGAGGGAAGAGTCGACGAAGCGGCGGCATCGATGACGGAGAGATCCATCGTGAAACCATTGAGGAGCACTCGAAATAGCTGAGACGGAGTTCGTCGAAGTAGAAAACGGGGAATAATCATGTTGTAGTCGGTCCTCCGCCGTGTTCGACATCGGATTGGTGGTGAGATGGAAATCGTGCGGACTGGGGAGTTAGAAATAGTGATGAGATTTTTTCGGCACTATTATTGGGCTTCAATAACTAAATGAGCTTCATATTTTAATGTTTCATTTCACTATTTTAGCTAGACTAAATACTATTTATGTTGGATTTTGATATGCCTAACCTAATTACGAATTTGTTTCTTTTATTTAACCAATTAATTGTCTTTTTAAGTTTAATAATTGTCACATAAAAACACTTAAAGAAGTATTAAGGCTTTATTTTTTATTAAAAAAAAAGCTTTTGGTTAAAAAAAATAAAAGACCTCAAATCGAACACGAATTTCATTATGAATGAAGAAATTTTGGTGGTTTGGTCAATGGTAAGTTAAGAAATAAAAACAAAAGAACCAAAAAATGATAAAGGAGTATTTTGTTGCTGAAAAATGCAATAAAACGATTTTCCGGTGCATTGTACTGGGTATAATACTAGTGTTAAATAAAAATTAAAGAGACTAATTATATATGAACTGAAACCCGACCCGACCCTACCCGAACCGACTCGACCTGATTCATCGACCAAGCATGTTTGATGTTTCCCATGCAAATGGAGTCTCAAAAACAAAAAAAATTCGTCCACGTGATTATATTCAGTGACAAAATGTAATTTAATCTACTAAACTAATCATTAAAAAAGGGTAAATTAATGTTACCCTCGTCTAATTAAATTTTTTATTTTAATTACCTAATGAGTTCCCTTTGGAGTGCGACGTCGTTTTGTGGTCTCTGGTCAGAAGTACCTCCAAAGCTAACGGTGACACCGTAACTGTCAGTGCCTTTCTTCATACTCTCCATAACCCAATCGCTACTAGCTTTCACGCCGGCTCTCGAAGCCTCCGCTAGCTCCACCTTAACATCGCCGCCGATGGTGGAGATGGCCGCG